TCACTTCGCTGCCTGTTTAGACTTCTACAATTGACTTAATAGGCTCAGGCTGTGTGGGCATGTGTGTGTGTGTGTGTGTGTGTGTGTGTGTGTGTGTGTGTGTGTAGTTTGTGGGGGTTATAGTCTCAGGCAGTGTGCGCTCACGGCTTAGATCAGTGTCAAGACTAGAGGAAGGCAGTTTGTGTGTGTGGGTGGGTGTAGGGGGGCTCTGGGTACCAGGATGTGTGCTCGCAAAGAGGCCCACATAAGCCTGAGGGGTTTAAGGGGTTCCCTGTGTGTGTGTGTGTGTGTGTGTGTGTTGTAACCTATAGGGTTAAGAGGGGTCAGAGCTTGAGGAAGACATGATGGGAAAGAGAGGGAGGGACGGAGAGAACGATAGAACATGATAAGAAAGCATTTACAGGCAGCAAAAGAAAGAAAGGGGGAGTAAGAGAAGGGTGAGAAGAGAGGGAGGAGGCCTGTCTAGGCAGACGGAGGAGAGAAAGAAGGTGAGGAGGAGTAGAGGGCAGGGTTTGTTTCAGGGGATAAGAGCTTCAGTCTGGGGAGTCCTGTCAATCAAAGAGCACTGGATGGGGGGAGGAGGGGGCGCTGTCAATCAGATGGAAGAGGAGAGAGATGAGGAGGGGGAGGAGGTGAAGAAATGTGATGAAGGGACCGAGGGGGATCTTCTAAACGATTTCTTCATCTTTTCTGCCTTAGTGTTCCTCTCTCTCTCTCTCTCTCGGCCTAGTTACTAAAATATCTCTGCCAACCTGGTATGTCACTGTTCGCTCAACACTGTATGGCACACACACACACACACACACACACACACGCTCTCACTCACGTATCTAAAATAGACAGTGAGATATGATGCTTTCTCCTCTTGTGACCCGTCATCTCGCTCTTCTTTCCGTGGCCTCCTTTCTTTCAGATCCTCTCATCCTCTTCCCGCTGTACGTTGGCGTGTCGACATTTGACATCATACCAGTTAAACATCGGCCTGCTGGAATTTGTCATTGGGCACTAATTCATTTATTGCTCAGAGCATTGCGTCGCCTGAGTATATATTCTCTCCCGCTGACGTTGCTGTCGACGCTGAGGCGCAATTTCACGATTGAATCCGGCCGCTTTTGTGACCCGAAAAGCAAATAAAACAAAAAGAAACTAATTCCCAAACCTCCCGCAAAGGGTGAAATCCAACCCAAACTGCACAGCCAAGGAAACAACTGCTCATGTGCACGTATATTTAAATGGGTATTTTGCAACAACAAATCTCAATCCAATCCAAATTTGTACCTTTTTCATTGTTGAACAGATGTATTGTATTGTAAGTTTGTGTGTGCATGTGTGTGTGTATAATTGGAGCCGGACAGAGATTGAGATGGAAAATCTCACTTCAGCTCGACATTAAATAAGACCAAAACATTGAACAGTAAGAAGCACCAACATTTTTAGAATCTTATTAGAACGTCTGTGGCAAATAATCCCAGACAATATTACACACTGTTCATTGAACCTTGTTTTTGTATAATTTGGTTTGTCAAGCGGTCCCACACCTCATGCCCATCCAGTGAAATTGGTTCTAATGAGAATACTTTTGGGTCGGTATAGTGTGCATTAAATGAGACACAATTACTTTAATACATGTTTCTCTCCTCTCGCTGGCGTTTCAGTATCACTTCCTGTGCTAAAGGTCAGCAGTTGCTTGGAGATGAGGACTATTGGGAATTATTCATACCATCGACTTAATGTCAGGGCTCACTTCTCTCACTGGGTTTTTGCTTTTGTGCGTGTGTGTGTGTGTGTGTGTGTGTGTGTGTGTGTGTGTTGAGCGGGTGAGAGACGGAGGGAGAGGAAAGAGAGAGAGAGAGA